AGGCAAATCATTTCGGACGACTGAAATAAAGGAGCAAATGAATCGAACGAGCCGATTCTAACATAATGTTTTGGATCAAAGGAGGAAGGTGTTTCGGACGACCGAAACGAAAGGAAGATTACTTCGGTCTACCAAAACAAAGAATGATGGCCAACCTTAAACCATTTCGGACTACCGAAACACAATGGTGTTTCATTTCGGTCGGTCGAACTTGCGCAGATTCAAATTCAAATGGATATTTTGCCTTGAACCCCGTGCACAACAGTTATATTTTTGAATTAGCGCATCAAATCTCTATAAATAGAGCTGTAGACTTCGGGATTAAATGTTGTTACACTTGAGAGACATCTTCTAGCATTATAAGAGCTTTTGTTCTTCATTCATATCATACTCTCTCATCCCATATCATTCATAGAGTATTGAGCTTCAATCTATTCATATATATACTCTAGAGTGAGCTGAAAGTTGTGAACTAATATTTGCATATCAATTTTTGAGAGATATATTTGTATGCAACAAATCTGATCTTCAATTTGTAAAGGCTGGTGTGGCCCAAGGAAGAAAAAGCAAGCTAGCTTCATATTTGTAACGGTTAGTGTAACCCAAAGGAAGACTAAGAGAGGTTGTCTCTTATAAAAAAGAAGCAAGGAGTTGCTTCTAATCAAGGTTTGCTCTCCACCCGTAAGGAGGTGCCATAGTGGATTTGGAAGTCTTAAGAGGGGTCTTGAGTCGAGGAGTAGGAATTTCCAAACCTCGCTAAAATCGCTGTGTGAATGTTTACAAATCTCTATTCCCTTATCTCCTTTACATTTATGTTATTAATTGCTTATGCCTATATATTAATTATTGCATAATTATTAGAAGGTTTTAAGTAGAATTTGCAAATTCAAAAATTGGCCATTGTTTGCCATAAACTCTATTCACTCCTCTCTAGAGTCAATACTTGGGCAACAAATATGATTATAAGAACTCAAATCTCTTGTTTTCCCTTAAGTGGATTATGTTGTGATGCAATGGACTTTCCATCATTCGTTTTCAAGAAAGAAAAAAAAAAAATACAAAAGGTTTTGGCATTTTCGGTGGGGTGTTTTTTGTATTAAATTAAAAAAATTTTTATTTATTTTTAAGTTTCAACAATTTGGGGACTGAAATGATCAAGTATTAGAGCTTTTCTAGGATAATTGATGAGAAAATTTGTGAAGAATAAATTACCGAAGAAATTTGAGAAGAATATGCAAGTTGTGACAATTATATTTTAGACTTATGATTGCAAGCCAAGAATAATTTACATATTCCTAATTGTTGTTTTGTTTTTGAGATGTGAACTTATTTGTATAAGTTGAAAAAAGAAATATTTAAAAGAAAAAAAAATAAAACAGTTTATGATGTGTTACAATATTACTATGTCTCTACAAATATATATATAAAGTGGTTTATATGATAGTACATTATATCATATTTCATTTCTATACTTAAATTCTTCAACTTATTATTTTTTATAGTTTTAAGAAATTTTAAATGTAATTTTTTTCTAAAGATTTTTTTTTTTTGTGCACTTTTGCTAGTAAAATAAAATATCTGAAGGTTTCTCATAGCTGAAGGTTTGATTCTAGAGATCGTGGGGGAATGGAGAAAGAAAGCAAGACGACTATTGCTAGTAAAATTGCTGAAATTCCCATTTTCAATTTGACTTTCAAAAAGAAAAAAAAAAATTTAACATATCATAATTCTTTTTAAAGAATCAAATTATGAATTCATAATTTGTATATATATATATATATATATATACAAATTATATATATAATTTGTATATATATTGTCGGTGATAGTGTTGAACTTCTTAAAGTACTCTATAATTCATCAGCGGGCATATGCAGTTCCCGTTCCACATGTGCCATGTAATTAGTGAAAAATTCCTTGTATATATATATATATATATACACATATACAACATAAAATATGTTGGAGGTGTTTCTTTGTGATGTATGGTGGCAGTGTGAGCTGTTGATATGGTTTTAATTCAATTGAGATGATTTCACAACCATTTCACCTACCACGGGGCACATCCGTGTATGCTACAGAAAAAAAAAACAGAAGAAGAAGAAGAAAATGATAACATTAGTTAAGAGAGAAATGAAATGAAAAGAAATAAGATGATAGTGTTAACTATTTATTGTGTTTAGTTAATTAATGAAGGAAATGATTGATGGAAAAAAAATGATAATAATCATGTTTGAGAAAAGAAAACGAAAGAAAACTATTTTAATGAATTTACAATCATGCCTTACTTCTTCTTCTTTTTTTATATATATATTTTTTTTTTACAAAAATAAGGACAAATTTGATATTAACAAATTTTCATTTAAAATACTAGTCTTTTTCCTTTCTTTCAATTTCCCCCATTTTTTAAAAGATAACAAAAGTTACCATTCAAACCTTATTGTATCCCTCTAAATCCTTTTCCCTCCTTTTTTATTTTTTTTATTTTTTATTTTTTTTTTTTTAACAAATACAATTTTCATCTCCCCCATTGCCATTCTTTTCTTTTCTTTCCATTTCTATTGAACCAAAATGACCCCTAGAGAGAAAGGGAGGTAAAAGCACAGGAAGTAGACCCCTGAGAGCAAAATGGTCCCAAAATTGTATTTAAAAAGCCACATGGCTGGTCACATGGCCTTTTCCATTAACTTTAGTGATCTAGGCTTGATTGAGTGAGAGGTTGCTAAAAGAGTAAATTTCATTTTATAGCTCAAAGGGCTCACTGGCTCTGGCCCTAGACCTTTCAAGGGTTGCTATTGTATTTTACTCCAAGACTTATTGTGAAAGTGGTCCCGAAAGCTGCAGAAATTGATCTTAATGTAATACTTGTTATCTTATCAATTTTACCTTACAACATGTGTATTACATATAAACGCACATCTATAGATACACACACCAGTTTGAAATTCAAAAGCACTAGCATGATTATTTGCCGATTAGTATTGCGGTAGACGACTGAGATCAACTCACACACTAGCCAATCTCGATATTATGTGCCATTTTTCTGTCCTTTCCCATGTTGTCCCAAATACTTTACCTGTTTGGTAGACGGTTCTTCTTGGTGTGTACACATCAGGTGGGGTCTAGTGCCACAAAACATTGTTGTCAGCCTAATTATGCACCCTTTGAGGGCAGTCCTTGAAACAGATTTATGAGAATCCACAGTAACATCTGAATTTTCGTGCTTTTTTTTTCTTGACATTGATTTGGTAATTAATGTGTCCAAACAAGACAAAGAAACTATTCTCAAATCTGGATAGGGTGGTTGGTGATTCCACTAGACCAGACGTTATAAACCCCATGACCAGAAAAGCCACCCACCACAGATAAACATTTATAACACATTGAATTTAGGTTATGAATCTTATTTAATGCTATCTTATTTATTTTGACACATTTAATGCTATCTTTTTACCTCTTCAAATTGTACTCTTAGCCAAAATTTTGACTCCATAGTGAGAATTCACTTCCATCTGTGGAAGGCTGCGTATGTTCTGTATAGTTTTCAACATGACACTTGCATTAGGTCTCAAGATTAATAATCTGATTTATTTATTTTTTATTATTATTATTATTACTATTTTTTTTTGGGTGATTTACCCATGTTAATTTGACCTTTTCAATTATAGACCTATAAAATATTACTATTGCTCTCCTTGAAATTACTAAAAAATTTCATTATTACTCCCCATCTTATTTTCTAGCTCTGTCCCTGGTTTAATGATTGATGTTTAATTCATTTGGATACCATGCCCTAAAGAGGTAAGAGCTGAAGGATCATCGACCTGTCATCATCGTTACTTTTGCTTAATTTCTTACAAATAAAGGTCGGTTTCAATTTTTTTCTTTTCTTTTCTTTTCTTCTTTAGAGTACGTGTATCGGCCCCACAACACATGTATCATTTAAGTTAAGTGTGTGGTTCGAAAACGAGATTTCAAGGACTTACCTCTTGAATCCTTGCCAACATTATTATATCCTTGAGGACAATTGGTTTCATTTACACACAATCAAATCTACTCACTAATATGATTTAAAGCGGTATGATCACATTTGCACATTATCAAATTAACTCACTAATATGACTTAGCCGGAGTATCACCCATTAAATTTACTTGTTCAGTCAAACACAAATTGAACGCAAATAAATATATTAATTTTATTCAATTTTTCTCACATGTCAATTACTACTAATAATTAACCGAGACCATGTCAAAATTTCTCAATATTCTTACACAATTTGAAACCCAATAACTAGTTGATGTTTGTGTATCAAAACGTAGACTCTAACAATAGGACAAGTTAGTATACCAACCAGAGAGCAATTCATTGTTGGTTAAGTTATATATATATAAATATATATATATATATATATATATATATGTATATGTATGTATATATATGTATATGTATGTATATGCAGTTTTTAGTTAAAAAGTAACATGTAAGTATAAGGTAATTGTTGCTTTGCATGTACTTAATTAATTTGGCTTGGATTTTAAGGAACTGTCACGGCAGCAGTTCTCATTTATCAGTCAAAATAACTACCCGACATACTTAATTGCAGTTAATAGGAGTAACAATATATATATATATGTTTTTTCTTCTTCTTCTTTATTTTTTGTGAATTTTGCATATCATTAATTTTTTGCTGGGAAGGAGTTCGATTAATGTTCTTGGATATCATTAGATAAGTTTTGTTTGGACACAAGTGTGGGATGCGTATTTAACACTATTTTTGATTTAACATGCACTTAAAAAACATTTTGTCATGTTGAATAATTTAATTTTATTAAATTATTACTTCAAATAATTTTATAAAAAAAAAAAAAAAAAACGGCAATAGATCCCACAAGTCTTATTCGGATTTTGCGATCAATTAGGTTACTAAGCAATGCTTATTTATATTAAAAAAAATAAAAATAACTTTTTGAGTGCTCAATCATGAGAACAAAGTTGTGCATTGCCTTGGAGAAATCTGTAATTATATATAAGCAACATAACCAATTAAAATAAATTATCACCTTTCAGTACAAATTAAGAGTAAGCTCAGAGCTTCCAATCTAAGAAAGTGATATAAGCAGAACAGTGTACTCCACTATACAATTATAATAGACCTCACTTTACTAGCTAACTTTAATGCTACTTCTCTCTCATTATGTATGAATATATATAACAAAATTAGATAGCTAGTCACATTGTATATAATTTAATTAATTAAACTATAATCCCCCAAAGTCTCTAACAGAGAAAGGGTTATTCTCCGGCAAGTTTCCAGCATGGCGAAGGCCTAGCGTGAGCGACACGTCCCCTGCATTGGTCCCAAACCGGATCAACGTCGACATGTTGCCGTCAGCCCCAACCATGCAATGTGGCGGGAAATGCACCTCGCCGGCGGCGGGAGTGGTGGTGGAGATAGTGGAGGTGGTGGTGGTGGGGGGTAGTCTGGGTTGGTTTTCTGAGAAGCAATGTGTGGTACTATTGATTGTGATGAGTGAAGGGTCGTTGTCGAATGCATTGATTTGGGATCTTTTGCTTGCTGCGGTGGCTGTAATTGTCGTTGTTGTTGTCGATACAGTTGGTGTGTCTGTAGCAGCAGCTGTTGTTGTTGTGGTTGGGGTAGTAATAGTTGGGGTTTGTGTAAAGTTACTGTTTTGGCTCCTCTCTCTATCCCCACTACCTTCCTCTTCTTTGGCTTCTTGCTGGTACATCTCTTCCACCATGGGTTTCCACAACCGGACCCTCGCGTTAATGAACCAGTTTGATACCTGAAAAAAACGCACACACACCTACTAATTAGAACCCATCAAGTAATTGGTGAAAATTATGAGACCATGGGACAACAAAAGACAAGGCCTTTACCTTATTTTATTTATTTATTTTTAAAATTAAGGGTAAATTTCACTTACCTCCTCCAAGGTTTATAATATTCAACATAGATCCCTCTACGTTTCATAATCTCACTTAATTCCATTTTTAGTGACTTTTTTTCACCATTTTATCCATGAAATGTTTGTTGTCATTTTAGACATTAGAAGGGCAAAATGGTGAGACACACCCACACACTAATTAGAACCCATCAAGTAATTAGTTAAAATTATGAGACCTTGAGCCAACAAAAGACAAGGCCTTTACCTTTTATTTTTTTATTTTTATTTATTTATTTATTTATTTTAACAAAAAATTAAGGATAAATTTCACTTACTTCCTCTAAAGTTTATAATATCCAACATAGACCCCTTTATGTTTCATAATCTCACTTACCTTCCTTTTTAGTGAATTTTTTTTTACTATTTTACCCATTAAATGTTTGTTGTCATTTCAGGTATTAGAAGAGCAAATTGGTCAGACACTGAAAAAATCTATTACATAAATCAGAATTTCAAAAAAGATAAGTTAGATTATGAAACATAGAGTGATCAATGTGGGAAATTGACAAACCTCGGAGAAAGTAAACAAAATTTACCCAAAATCTAAAATCGAGGGAAACCAACATCTAATTAATAATTATTATAGGCTTTTAATTTAATTATTAAAAATAAATTTATAAAGTTAGATATACTAGGTGAAAAGATTGGAGAGAAAAGATTGGAGAGAGAATTAATATCAAGGATGATGATGCTATCGATGAGAGCACATCCTCGTCACCATTCGGTCAAGGGGGCAGATGGGTCTCCAATTAATTCAATGAAGGTGTCTTGGTCATAGCATCGTCCTTGAAGATATACATGTGGTAAAAAAAGATGTATGTTTGTCGAACATATTAAGCAAGCTTAAGAAAAAATAATCCCAAGTGCTGCAGTTTAGTTGCTGGTCTCTCACCTTTTAAAATAAAGACTCGAGAGTTTTAAGTCCAAAAATGGATGTGTAAGTTTACTGCCAATATAAAATTATGGGGGTACCTTTTTTTTTTTTTTTTTTTAAATTGATAATCATAGACGCGCATTTAATACTATTATGTCACTAACCTGTTGGTAAATTATGGAGATATTTATTAATTTACATGCCATTTTCACTTGCTGCCTAGCGCATACTTAGTTCCTAATTAATGACATATATAAGGTTTCATCATGGACAAAGAAAATAGATATTAATGTTAAAGTAATTTTTCTTGAGTGAGAAAATTCATTAACGAGCCTCGATCAATGACTTACTATGAGTGTATTATCATTTAATTCATAGAAATGAATTTTTGCTCATTTTTGCCATTTCTTAAATAAGTAATAATTTTTAATTATTCATGCAAACAAGTTAATCAATTCTTGTTGTTGCAATCAAGTGCAAGAGAACGAAATTATTGAGGATATGATCAATAGGATGATAATTATGATTATCTGAAATTAAAAAATATAATTAATATATTGTGGTTTATGATAATTGCATGACTTCATTTTTTGCTTATTATATATTATTTCTGAAATGCAATATTATTTGTTAAAAAGAAGGTTCAGGTACAAAAAAAATGTCTCTTTATCTAATGGAGCAGTACTGGGACAGCATTAAATAAAGGCGAGAGTACAGAAATTAGGAGTGTTGTTGCATGTGTGTAAACGTGTGTGTGTGTGTGTGTGTGTGAGAGTGAGAGAGAGAGAGAGAGAGAAGGGGGGGGGGGAGGGGGAAGAGAGGGTGTCTCACCTCTTCTGTACTTGCCCCTGCCTTTATTATTGGCAGAGTTCTATCGCTGTTTCAGAATTTATGTCTTTGCAGATAAGATTCTAATAATCCAAAGAAACCAGAAATAATATAAACCTAAACCATGCAAGTCCAACTGAAGTTTCTGATTATCACTCCTAAGACTTTCTTCTATTGTTTTCCTCTTTTTCTCACTATTTAATATTATTTTTTTCCTTCAAATGAAGAAGCTCAGTACCTGAACAGGCTGAACACACACACTCTCTCTCTCTCTCTACATATATATATATACATATATTGTTGTACTTGTATGATCATGGCGTGTAGAGTTTGTACATGTATATGGTGTAAGAAAATTAAGGCTTATAGGGACTAACCTGGTTTCTTGATAGACCGGTCTGTCGAGCCAATAGATGCTTGTCTGCATCACTTGGGTACCTGAGAAACAGACCAGAAAATGACATTAGAGTCCTTACTAAAACAAATAAAGGGACAACGAAGCTTTTTCGAATCCGTAGATGAGATCGAACCCTTCTTTGCATGGGCGTGACAATCTAAGACAGAAGATCATAAATAAAGAGTACAACTGCACTCACTGATCTCTCTGATCATAGCATGCATTAGATTTCATATAGGATAATGATTGTTAGACACCAGATAAGATGAAGGTAGACTATTAGATCAATATCGACACACAAACGCTACCTAGAGAGATGGCATGTGAAGTACTGTAGATCTGAGTTCAGAAAAATTACAAAGAAATCTTATTTTAATTTGTAAAGCTAAGATATCATTTTTTGAATTTTTTTTTATTTTAATTTAACAAGCTACTACTTGAGCCAAAATACTTTTAGTGGTAACTCTTTTTATAGAGGAAGAAAAGCAAAAGGGAAGAAATCTAAGAATCCTCTTTCAGTGTTAAAATTTGTTATGAATAATTGTAAATGTACTGAATGAAAAATTTATTAATTGCTATTTGTATTTATTTGTTTTGGCTTTAGTGTTGTCTCTTATTATTGCCGAAGTCACCCTCTTATAGCAAATTCCTAACTCTGTCATTGCTTTTGAAGGCATCTTGGTGTCTTCGCATAAGATTCGATTTCTCTATTGTCTTATTAATTTTTCCTGGCATCTCAATTTAAATGGAAGTGAGAAATATAAATTTGTAATTTGGCTAATTTTGTTGTCAAAACGAGTCCGATTGAGTTGTAGATTTTCTGTTCAATTTGTCAAGATTCAAGATCAGAAGTAGAATTGAAGAAGTGATCGAGTTCATACTTTGATACACTCTGTGATGATAAGAACAATGTATTAGGAATGTAAGTGAGTGTGTGAGGATACTTTCATGATTTCAAAATTAGGCTTTTAGGGAAAATTTTCTAAGTTTTTCATTCTGCCTAACTTGAATAGGTTCAACTTTTAAGGCTTCCTATTGAAGTTTAAGTGTGGCTAACTTGAACCGGTTTAACTTTCAAAGGTGTTTTTCAAATTAAGATTAACTTATGGCCAACTTGAACCAATTCAGCCCCTCTTGAACCGGTTCAATTTTTGCAGACCTTTTTGGTAACTCTTAATCCTGGTCTGTTTTGGCTTTCTATTTTGAATAGACTTTTGTTATAATGAATATGCATGAAATTGACTTGTTTTCCAAGGAGTTTTAGGCCTTCCAAAAATCTATATAATCTCTCTTTTACTCAAAATTTGTTAGGGCTTTTGGGAAGGTAATTTTTCAACTATTTTTGACAAAGCTTTTTGAGAGATATTTTTCAGAAAATCAATTTGATTTTTTTGATTTCATTTTGAGAGCACACACATAAACACAAGAGTGATTTAGGGGTGTTGTTCTCTACTTGATCGAAATTGGAGCATAATTAAATATTCAAAATTTTTGAAAAGTAAGATCTTATCTATCTTCACATAAAATTCAAATTTGAAGAAGATCAGACTTTGAAGGGGTCAAGCCCCATGCAGAGTATTATTGATCTACCAATAATCCTTCTATAAGGTTCAAGGTATAAGTTTGAAGTCGAGAGCTATAGGACGGGAGGTCACAAAGCTAAGGGCGTTCAGCAAGTTGGGTCTTAGTAGAATGAAGGGGTGTGAGCATGAGTCAAAGTTCGGTGTACTTTGATTCATACATAGTACTGAATCGTTTTATACTCGGGATAACACAAAAAACCTCGAAGTTTTCCAATTGGTTTCCTCCCTAAAAATCCTGGTGTCATATCTCAATCTTTACGTTTCTTACTTTACTTTGTAATATTTATATTTGTGGTTGTGGATGTTTAATTGATCATATATGTGGGTAAATTAATCAATCACAAAAATTGGACAAGTTGACCTAAGCACCTCCTCTAGATCATTTAGAGAGTTAATCACAACTTAATCAACTACTAGCTTCCGCACCGCGCGTAACTCACATGAAGAAAAGAGTTTTCATTGTGTCATTCTTGAAGTAATTATTAGGTCACAACAATCAACCAAAAACATGATGTAGGAGAGTGTTTTTTTCCCTCTCAACAATGTAGGATGGTTGAATGGCTTCTTTTTCAAACAAATTAAGCTTGGTTTATAATAGGTGGATGTCATTTATAAAGTCATTAAAAAATTACCAACGGACCAGCGGTCTAGCGGTATTATACTCTTACTTTCCAAAAGGAGATTAAGGGTTCAAGCCTCCATAGAGACATGTGTGTGTGAGTACCAACTAAGGAAAAAATAAAAAAATAAAAAGGTTATTAGAGAATTCTTCTCCAATCAAAGGATTCTCAAGAAGATTAACTCTACCTATATAGCGCTAGTCTCTAAAGTTCTTGACCTCCTCTTCCTAAAATGAATTGAGGCCCAGTTTATGTTGAAACACAATTTACAAGTGAATTGTGCAGCTTATTGCCAATAAACTTAAGCTAAGCTTACCTAGATCATCAACATCACTCAAACTGCCTTTGTCCAGGCAGGAAATAGGAGATAGTGTCTTGCTAACTCATAAGTTTTTTTGTGGTTATCACAAGTCATCCAAGTCACCTTGATATGCTCTCAAAATTAACATGAAAAAATAAAAATAAAAAGACTTCTGGGCCACTAGCTTAGTTGGTATGATCTCTTATTCCCAAAAAAGAGGTTAAGAGTTGAAACTCTGGCCGTATTGTGAATGTGTGTGAATTTACTTTAACTTTTCGGAAAAGAAAAAGGAAAGAGAAACAAACACCTAAAGAAAGACTTTGAATATCTTATAAAGCTAGAATGCCCCTCACAAATTTTGAATACTAATTTGTTACAAACTCATTGGATTAAAGCTATAGCATTGTCGTTCATTGAAATAAAAATATCTACGAGATCCATGTCACAATTTGGGAATTAATGAAAAAAAAAACATGTTGTATCAATGTAGAATGTAGACTTCAGACTCAGTTGGATGAAATTTCATTCTAGAAGCCATAACTCTATTTGGCTTTCCTCCTACCTATGTTTCTAGATCAAGGTTTGTTTCACATCTCTATCCTTCTCAATATCTCTGAATAGTGATCTCCATGGAAATTTCAAAATGGCTAAGGGGCTCAGATAAAAAAATCCCTCCACTTTAAATATATGTACTCTATGTTTTTTTTCCCTTAAAATTAATGCTCCTAATGCTTCATTCTCGTAAATTTAATTAAGGACAAGTACATCATTTCATGTCAAAAGTGGAGAGTATTTATAAGGAAGTAGAATGCATTTATTACCTTCCCCATTTCTCCTTAAAATGGAGTATTAATTAAATAGAAGTGTGGTAATAATTAATTGGATGAAACTTGCCTATTGACTGTTTTGTAGGTCATTCCTACTAGGACGTGGTCTAATCGCACAAATAATTCGTAATTATAAAATTTGAAAACTGATAAATAAGGACCGTAATTTTTTTTTTGAAATAAATTCAGCTATCTTTTCTAATTTCTACTCACCGTGAGTAGGCAGGCAAGTCGTCTTCTAATTATTACTATATTTTTGTTTTATAAATCACATTAATTTGTTCTACTTAATTTATTATGAAATGAAGACTAGAGAGAAAGGAGTGGAGATAAACGTACGGGTGAAGGAAATGCTCAAATAGCCAGGCTCTCAAAATGCTGACAGAACGTTCAGGCAAGCCTCTTTGTGGTCTCCAAGCTTCTTGTTCCATCAACCCCATCTGATGGAATGCTCTTTGCTGTCTCAGGCTTTGCTCAAGCAGCTTAAGCCTCGGAGTCTCTCCTTTGGTCACCCCAGAAGTACCTGCATCTTTCTCCCCCAAAGCCTCACAACTATGCTTCAACTGTGCTGCTATGGCATCCTTTAGACACCGGAAATGCCGAGACATCGCCTTCTGTGCCAAGGCAGTGTATGGCAATGCAGATCCAAACCCCATTACCAAATCAAATGAAGTCACTACCGTTTGCATTTGTTCGCAGTAATGGTTGTATCTTCGATCCACCTGCTAATTAAAATGAATTACCGAAAAAGAAAACAACTCACTTGAGAATTCGGTTTGAGTTTGGAAAATGATAAAAGACCCGATTGGTATTATTACCGACTGATGTATGACTAAAAGTCATCACTCATTGGAATTTATTATACCCAATGCTAGTATATATCCCAGTGAGGTCCAAAACAAAGAACTAATTACATATGTAATTAACTTGAAAAATTATGTGTGTGTGTGTGTATATATATATATATATGCTGTAATATTGCTAACTACCATAGAGAATGAAGAAATTACGCATCAACTATTACTAATTTTTTTGGTAGCTATTAAACAGTGACAATCATACTAGTGTATTAAATTTCTCTTAGACAACTCTAAAATTAGCTTGTAATATTTTGTTGCTCCAAAAAACCAAGATAAAAAAATAAATGAGGAACCAAATGTGCTGGTATTAATTACCGGGAAAAAAAAAAAAAAATTTGCTGGTACAGTGAAATGATTGCTGGTGGGAACAGAAAGTATCCTTGTTTTTCTTTTGTTTCACCCTTTTCCCAACTAAACAAGGTGGCTTTTGCCAAAGCACAACCCCAAATTGTACTATCTATATATGAGTGTGTTGTGTATGTGTATGTGTGTGTGTGTGTGTGTGTGTCTCTCTCTCTCTCTCTATATATATATATATAATAGGTGTATGAACATAAGAAGAGAAAGAAAAGAAAACAATGCACCTAAGGTCAATTGATATATAAATCAATGGTTTTTCTTTGCAATATTACCATCATAGGCATGTAAATCATGGGTTTGGCTTACTTAACTATCTTTCCAATCACAACTCACAAGGAACATTCATAAGTCGTCTCTCTTGTCTTCACCAAACGAAAATCCAACGTACCCAAATGCCCCACCAACCAAAACAGTGAGAATCAAATATAAATATAATAAAATTATATACATATATATATAGATACATATATGTGCGTGTGCGTGTGTGTGTATTATGTAATGAACCTCAAGCAACTGAATCTAGGGAACCCTATTTCACCAGCCGGCATTTCCCTATTCAAGACTATATTATATAAATAGGAAGTTTCTGTTGTATAAAAAAAATGTTGTATATAAAAAAAATAATGGACTAAATAAACCAAAATGATTGGACCTTGACTCAGAGAGAGAGAGATTACTTGCCTCATCAAGCATTGATAGAAGTTTGACCTTTCTTCTCTGGTGTTCATTCCTATCAGCAGCTGACAAATGAGGGAGATCCTTTGAAGAAGATGTAGAAGCACCGCCGCCGCCAGAACCACCACCACCACCACCACCACTTGGATTAGAATTAGGGTTTGTGTTATGTCTGCCAAACTTGTTCTTCTTGAACTGACCCCTCCCAACACTACAAAACTCCTCCAACAATTCTTGTGCAGCCTTCACATACTTAGAATTCCTGAGAACATTGACTGCCCCTATTGAAGACCCATACCCAACATGGAACTGATGGTGGTTCTGACCCACCACTCCACCTTGCAAATGCAGTGTCTGGTGATGATGGTTCTGATGACCCAAACCACCCAAATTCTTGTACATATACTGATTATGATGATCAGCAGAAGTTGACCCTCCTCCTCCACCTGCTTGATTGAAAAACAACATCCCACCATCACCCATCCTCAATTCCTCAGCTTTAGCCCCTTCCAAGTGCTGCAACGAGGACGACAACGACAATGAAAGCCCTTGTCCTTCATGGGCTCCAGTGGCAGTAATAGTACTAGTAGTACCTCCTTCATGTCCACCACTATCATGAACCCAAGTGAATTGTGATTGGGATGGACCAAAACCCCCAACAGTGTTATGATGAAAACCTTGTGGAGTGGAAGTGTTTGATGGGCTCGGAAGCAGCATGTGAAGTGTTGAAGATGGTGGTTGTGTAGGATGATGAGAAGGGGATGGTGACGGTGACCTAACTGTAGTTTGTGGGTTCATGAGAAAAAGCTGCATGGCAGCTGCTGAGTCCGTATTAATGCTCGAAATCTGACTATGTTGGTGATGATGATGGTTATTGAGAAAGTTTTGATTCTTTGAATCCTCGCCCAAACCACCCACAACCGCCTCTTGTCTGTTTGCATACCACTCGGCGGCTGCCGGTGGTTGCCGGGGGTTCCGGTAACTAGTACCCATCTGGTTGTCAAGCAATTCCGGGGCCGTGGTGGTCCCGGAAGGGAAATTGAACATCTCGGATAACATTCCGGCTGACTCGTACACCGGAAGCCCACCGGAGTCTTCTTGTTCTAGCTGAACGAATGGCGGCGGCAGTGGTGGGGGCGGTGGCTGCTCGAATCCTTGGACCCTTAGTTTATTACTGTCCCTTCGGATCTGCTGTGCTATGTGTTGGTGGTGGTGGTGTTCTTGTTGTGATCTCTCGAACCCATTCGGGAAACTGAAAATACCTTGATGATGATAGTCTTGGGACATAGAATTTGTAGAATTGGGACTGTCTGAGATTTGAATTGGGTGGTGATTTCTTGAATGAAAAACAACAGATTGAAGTGGTGGTGGTGGTGGTGGTGGCAGTGTTGCTATTCCCATATTAGTGTCTTCTTCTTCATTATCATTTCTATCTTCCACCTCACAACACCCACCTCCTTATTTCTCAGCTGCTCATGATCAATTTCGATCATCAAAAATCATATCCACAAGCAAAACAAAAAATACCCAATTCAAAATAATTTAGTTATTCATCAAAATCATAGTAATACAGTAGTAAAGAAGAAAATAAAGAGAAAAAGAAAAAGCATATATATATATATATATATATATTTTTTTTTTTGAAATATGTTTATTTCAGTATTTTTTTCAGCTTTATTCATGTATATGCATATACCTCTAAGAGTTGCAGGGCTTAAAAGGGTGCAAAGCTCTCAGACATCGTTTTCTCTTGGGATTGAAAGCCCTCTTGAATTCTTTTTTCTTTCTCAGACTGTTGTCTCTGTGTCTGTCTGTTTCTTCTCTCTCTATCTTTCTCTTTCTCTCTCTATCTTTCTTCTTCGCTGTGTGTGTGGGTGCTCTATGCCATCGCCTTCTGGAAAGAGAGAGATACAAAAAAAAATATATATATATATATATATATATATATATAAATATATGGTATGGTGGCTTGAGAACTGAAATCTCTCTCTGTGTGTCGCAAAAAACACAACCCAAAGAGAGAGGAAAGAAGCTGAGAAGAGAAGGGGTCGCTGTTCTTATTCCCTACACCTCCTTTTCATACAACAATAATTTATACTTATTTAATTTCCTCTTCAATTTGACAAAGAAGTTTTAAGAGATTTTTTAATGTATGAAGACGAAAATAGAAGACCCTGAGTTCTTTATAGGAGTGTGAAATGACAAAAATGCACCCTCTGCATCACAAAAAAATTGAGTGGAGGTCACTCTAGTCATTGGCAACTCTAATGTCAAATGACACTTTTTAACAGTGGACTATTAATGTTATATTATATATTATATATTATGAATATAAACACCCAAAATATATATTATATACTATATATTATGTATATAAACACCCAAAATAATCTTACACATAGTAAAAAATTTCAAGCATTATGGCGGATATGATTGATATGGTTTTTTTTTTTTTGCTAATCAATAATATTTTTTTTAAAAACTTGAATGATTTTAAACTGTCATTATGTTGAATGTATATAAATTTCTTGTTGACATGTTGCGTTTAGAAATCATTTAAGTGTGCGTATATGTGTGTGTGTGTGTGTATATATATAAAATTGAGACTTGTGCGTTGATTCGGCCTTTATTTGAAAAATAATAAATGCATTTAACTCCCATACGGACACGGTTTTTTTATAAAAGAAATAATAAATTAAATAAATATTTCTTATACTTTATTTGTAAAAAATAACTAAGGTTTATAATGTCATTTTACATTCGAAGTAATCGCTCCCTATTCTATTAATTGAGTGTCAAGTAATTGGACCTTTTCAATATTAGAGCATGGTCCAGCGTGACATTTTAAAACAAAATTATGACTAATGATCCACGTAAAAGAAGTGAATACTTTTAATCGTGCTTTAAACTATTAGATATTTTAATCACTTGCTTGAAATGACGATAATGCCATTTCCAGATGTCGTGCTATAAGTGCTATAATTGCCATTTTCCACACCCTTGGAAACCAACGCAAACTAAGGAATATAAAAAGGATAAGGTGACAAGGTCATCTCAATGATCTAAACTACCACCACCGTTGGGTAGTGTTCATAAGACAGTAATGCCCTTATGTTACTATTATTTTGGATACTCTATTTAAGTAGTTCAATAATGAGCAGGGATAACAATTTATCCTGCAGGGATAGATACCCGTCACACCCTGTCCTGTTTATAGTGATTTTGAAGAATTATTTAACTTATTTGAGCAGAAATGATTTTTACTAATGAAAACCTACGCGGGTTCGGGACGGGGACGGGGAAAGTCACCCCACTCCGCCCATCCTGTTTAGGTAGTTAAATTACTAAATTACTCTTACTTTATTAGTATATAATTAGCTCTAGAAATTTTAAATCACATTTATTCACTTTTTCAACCATTCTAATGAGCGACAGAGCCATACGAACTAAGAACACTCATACCCTTGAATTTTATGTTAAATTATTGATTGTCCATTTTTTATGATTTTTTTCAATAGTTATATAATTGTATTTAAGAAAAAAAAAATTAAAAAAGGAGGACAAATTATGGAACTAAATGGGGCAGGGTAGGTGCCCGCAAGGGTAAAAAAGTTAAACGGGACAGGGATGAAGTGAAAAGGTCCTCCATTTAGGCGATTTTAGACAGGGACAGAGCGAGGGTTTCTAAACGATTGTGGAGGCGGGGAGGGTACACCCACCCAAAACCGCCCCCGTTGACATCCCTAATAATGACTAAATCCCCCTCACTCATCCATAACCTCTCGTTTACTTAGTGTCCAAATTGGATGAAGAAAAGGTGAGGTATATTCGTGAGAACAAATTTGTTGTTTCCTCTTTTTCTTTAGTGGAATGCAAAAAAAACCAATTAGCTTTAACTTTTGGGCCATGTTTGTTTTACACTTAAAACTTTCGTTTAGGATTTCGAAATCACGTTTTTATTGTATATATGAGGCTTACTTATTATTTCAGGATATTTGTTTGAGGCCTTAACGAAGTCGATTCATACCAATTTCTATATTTATTACTAATTTTTAGTAATTAGATTTCTTATTCTATTTTGTTCAGAATTTTTAGAAAGAATTTATTTTTAGGCTTATTTCTAAGATTAGTTTTCTTGTGTTTTTAGCTCTCTCTTACTGTTAGGTTTTCTCTATTATAAATATTCATATATTGCAAGTGTAAAATTTAACCTTTTATTAATAATATTTCAGAATTCTTTATGACTTTTCTTCTAATTTGTGGATTCAAACTATACCACCTTGTGGATTCAAGGTAATCCTCGTTCCTTATGAACGAAAGTTATGAATGATAGTATTGTAATTTAAAACTTTTATAATAGGTTCACTTGTCTTTCCTCCTTTCTTTTTCCCATATTTGGAAATATAAAAATTTGCAAAAGAAATACATCTATCCTAATTAGGGATGGCAAAGGGGCGGGGCGGGGATCTCATTCCCCATCCCCATACCCAGTAAATTTTTTCATCCCCATCGCCACTCCCATACCCGCCCTTGCCCCCATAACCGATTAACACACACTATAATTTTTTTTAGCACATAATTTTTCTTATTTTCAAATTCCAAGATTCAACACAACCAAGTTATAATTTGTCTTAAATATATTTCATAAGTGTGTTTATATATACTTAATCTAATTTAGTAATATAACATACTATATAAGGGTATTTTAGTAAATATACACCCTAAGCTGGGCGCCGGGGGGGTGAATTTTCAAAAACTACCCCTATCCCCATCTCTATTTACATAAAAGGGTCCCCAAACTTAATTTGAAAGCCATATTTCGACCCGGACGTTTTCGGGATGCCGCTAATAACCAACGAATAGCAAGTGCTTTTCCTTGTGTGGATCCTATTTCAATGGGAACTTGATGAGTCGACCCACCTACACGTCTTGCTTTTACTGCTATATCGGGAGTTACTCCACGTATTGCTTGACGTAAAACAGATAGTGGATTTGTTTCTGTCTTTTGTTGAATCTTTTTCACGGCTCGATAGAGAATTTGATAAGCCAATGATTTTTTTCCGTGTTTCAGAATACGGTTAACCAACATGTTAACTAATCGATTACGATAAATTGGATCAGATTTTGCAGTTTTTTCTTCTGCAGTACCTCGACGTGACATGAGCGTGAAAGGGGTTCAAGAATCAGTTTTCTTTTTATAAGGGCTAAAATCATTTTGGCTTTTTTACCCCATATTGTAGGGTGGATCTCGAAAGATATGAAAGATCTCCCTCCAAGCCGTACATACAACTTTCATCGAATACGCCCTAAACGAGATGGGGCGGGACCCATCGAATTTGGGGATTTTGCCATCCTTAACCCTATTATGCTTTTTGAATGATTCAAATTTTTTGGAGGGAATTGTGGGGGTATTAATTTTGTCAAGGAAAAAAATAATAATAGTAAAATAAATAAATAAATCAAATAATGGTTATTTTTTTAAAAAAAATAAAAAATAAATTAGTAAATCACTACCAAACGTTATATATAGTGAAATGGTACTTTTTTATTTTTCAAAATCGAAAGTCTAGAATTTTAATTAGAGTGTTAGTAAGGGGATAAGGGAAAGGGGATTCAAACATAGAAGTATAGGATGGGGCACTTAAGGCCTGATCTTTTACCACTCGGACAACACCGCCACACCTATCCTCTTATCCTTTCTTGATTCAAATATATCCAAGAGAACTATGGGTGTATCAATTTTGTCAAGGAAAAAAATAATAATAATAAAATAAAATAAATCAGTAAATCAAATCATGGATATTTAAAAAAAAAAAAAAAAATCGGTAAATCACCACCAAGGGTTGTAACGCAAGGTACTTTTTTATTTTTCAAAATTGAAGGTCCAGAATTTAAATTGTGGGTGTATGTATTTCTTGTCAAAATAATAATAATAATAATAACTATTATTATCCACTCCTTAGTGTAATAAAATAAAATGAAATTGGTAAAAAGTGCCTTAAATTTTTTGTCACTCTAGGAGATCAACTAGAGCGTAGAGGCACATCTTTCATTTCATGGTGTGACGGCTTTAGATTCTAACAGGACAACTACGGTCCAATTATGCACCATTAAACTATTAATTGTAAAGTTAAATAAAGAGAAAGGCTTTGTTGAATTGTTGTCCAAGCTAGCAGCATCATTTTTATTTATCCCCACTATGATTGACTGGTATATATGTGCCTATATAACTGCCTATACAACATGAAAGTAGTTGTTGCAATTTAAAATGTGAATGCTTATGACTAATGAATCAATCTAGTGAAGTTACTTAATTCTCTAAAGAGCTCAACAATTTAGTCTCCATCCTTATTGCACCCATTGTTATGATCAATTAGGGCTGGATAAAACTTTCCAACTGCAAACCGGTTTGACTCTTGACAGCCCAACCTCCTCCAATTAATCTGTCTACTTTAGGGTGATGTCACGTGAATCTCGCACTCAACTCACACGCTTGAAAGCACCACTTCATCATTGAAAATTGCAATATCATATCTACCCCTCACGTGCCAAAGTCGGCTCCACACGTGCCCCCTTCATTATTATACTATACTAACACCCATTACACATGTACATACATGTATATGTGTGTGAATTATATTTAATGCATGCATGATTTGGTTGGAATCTATAGGATACATCTCTTTAAGTTCTTAAAGTTCACGTTCTGGTTTATGGAGGAGACGGTGCACGCTGCACCATCAACATGACTAGAAGCCAACCCTAACCCTAATTTGTGTGGTTGAAAGGGCATGCATGTCTTTGGGGCTTGGCTTTGTTGGCTTCTTTTTGGTCTAGTAATGGAAACAACTCTGTAACCCTACAACAACTGCCTACATTGCTTTCAGACGGACAAATTAAGATGTTATCAACTTGATTATCTTTATCACAGACCTACTAACTTTGTGAATAAAAAGCTTAATCCACTTGTGTATATAATTGGACCACAACCAATGATTCCTCCATTCAAACACATGGTTACAATGTCACTGGTTGATCACAATATTATTTTCGAAACTTGATCTTAAATGTTCCATGTAGCTACA